GAGAGGGAGAGGGAGAGGGAGAGGGAGAGGGAGAGGGAGGGAGAGAAAGAGGGAGAGAGGGAGGAGGAAGAGAAAGCGAGAGAACCCTTTGGACTTTTTAAAGTAAAGGTCTAATTATCATTCCCCTGCAACAGTATCACAGGGAGAAAAGACAAACTGAAACCCGCAGTCACTTCAAACGGGCTGATTATTTTGCTTCGGCGGCGTTAACTCCTCCAGATTTGTTTAAGATCCTGTTGGAAACTCGCATTTGCATGTTTTGATAACAGCTGCGGGGAAACTTGTTGGGGGGAAAAATCCGAAACTATCTCAATGAAATTTTCTTCTCCCTCTGCCTTAAAAAAAAACACACCCCCCCCTTTTTTTAACGTTTCTTTACTGTTGTGCTAACAGTTTTGGGGGTAGGGGTAGGGGGTGGAGGAGCGTCGGAGAGGGAACTTGGGAGAAAGCAAGCATTGGAAGCTACGTGTGGCTCTGTACAGACAGCCTATTAAATAATGTAATAAAATAACGGGAGCGATAATAATGGGACCCTCCCACTCTTCTTCCGCGGACTAAGGCAGATTGAGGGAGACGATCTAGAAGGCGCCGAATCTGTCTCAGTTCCCTCCGCCTCTCTTAGTAATCCCCCGCCCAGGTGATAGGAAATTTACATATATATATTTAACTGGAGGCGAGGACTCCAGGAGTCTATGATAATTGCTCCCTTCTCCCCTTCCTCCACCCCCCGACCCCCAATCTGGCCAATTTCGTAACCTTTGCAGTGCGGCCAAGGTCGCTTCCCTAGGCGAGAGCTCTAAGCTGAGAGGGTCGCTGCTGCCCAGATGCCCGGCAGGCAGGACGCTCCCCGGGCGAGCCGAGCTGCAGGGCGAGGCTCCCGCGCGCGCGCGCGCGCGCACCGTCCAGGGTCTAACCCGGTGCCGTGGGGATGGGGGAGGGAAGGGAGGCCAGGGAGGGGTGGAGGAGCCCCCACCTAAGTCGACGGATAATGCTCTGTCGTCTGTCTGCTGAGCCTTAACTTGACAGAGGACAGAGAGGTGCTGAACGATTTTTTCATGACCTGTTGGAATTCGGTAACAGCTTTAATAGTCTCATTAGAAATGAGTTACTATATGACGAGTAAGTAAAATATTAAGTGCTTATTTGTGGCGTTTTATGTTCTTTAAACACACACACACACACACACACACACACACACTCCCTTGATTACTAGACTTTGTTTCTTTTCTTTTCTTTTTTTTTTTTTTTCCTTTTCCCTCCTATAGCCGAGAGGCGCAACTGGAAGAAAGAAGGGTCCGAGTGTGTATAAATGGTTTCTGGGCTCCAAACGGCCATAGTTAGCCCAGAACTTCCAGCCCTGATCTGGGAAAAGAACATTTGATGCCATCAAAGGGCTGCAGATTGAAACCAGATGTGCTCGCCTCGGTTCTTTCCATGCATTTAATTAAGGAGCCGGGATGGAGGAGACTTTTTCATCATTAGTCCACCCACTCCCTCCTCCTCTTTCCATCCCCTCGCCCTCCCTCCGGCCCCACTCGTACCCCCGACTGGGAGCCCAGAGCCCCACCAGCGCTGCGCAGTGCGCCTCGCCGGTCGCTGCGTCTCCCCAGCAGTCGGGGCTCCAAGCTGTAAACATCTGTCCGCTGCCGCAGGACCCGGCGAGCGGGATGCTGGGGGGGGGGCGAGCAGGATGCCGGTGGGAGGCGGACGCGCACCCGGCGGGCCCGCGCGGAGTGGGAGCGTGGGAGGCCGGTGCCTTCGGTGGGGATTTCCACCACCGCGGCCTCCGCGGGCCTACCCCAGCGCCACCAGTGTCAGTGCCACCCGCTCCAAGGGACGCGACTGAGTCGCGCGGAGAGGTTTTTCGCGGGGCGTCCTGCTGAGTGAGCTTGGGTGGAAGGCCGAGGGACCGCTCCTCCTTCCCCTCCGCGCGCGCGGGAGGCCCTGCTGGGTTTGTCCCCAGAACCTGAGCAGGCCCTAGCCTCTCCCTCCGCCTCAGCCCGCAGCCACATAGTTGTATTTTAAGGTTTCTTTCGTCCCTAACCCCCGGGACATGCTTCTTGTCTGGAGACCCAGCGATCTTCGTCAGTTGTGGGGGGAGAGATCGCCCTTCTGAAGAAGTCGCCTTGTCCGGGGCGTGCCATTAGCCGGGTTGGTGGCCGAGAGGTAGCACCAGGGAAGGCGAGTCAGATACGGACAGTTGGAAGCTTAAGGGGACATCGCCACTTTGATTCCGTGTGTCCTCCAGCGGGACCAGGCGGAGCTCCGTTAGCATCATCCACTTGTCATTCGTGTAACAGTGTCAACCGATCTTACCAATACCACCTAGGATGCTAACGGTTTCAACAAAAACACCAGGCATAGTTCCTTCATGTTTGTCGACCAAATATGTGCATGTATATATGTGAGATAGAAACTTCTATGCACACGATTATCCCTAAATGTCTCTTGAACTGAGAGCTCCGATACCCGCGATTGTGCCGGGGCTGGGCTGGGCTGGTCCAGCACCCGCAGCACCGCTCCCACCGCCTCTGGGAAGGAAGGGGGAATGTGTTGGGGGACGGCTCAGGAGCCCCTCTCCAGGAATGATGGTGGGCTTTGAGGACTGCGGGGGACAGGGTGTTCTCCAAGCCCAGAAGCTGGGACCCGGGGGCACACTCCCACGGTGCCCAGAGAAAGGGAATGCCTGTGTTGGGACAGGGTCTCCAGGCACAGCTCTCGGCGTCCCGGCGAGCCTTTTTGGGAATTCTGCGGAGGCCCCACGGGCGCCAAAGGATTGCGGGGGATCTTAACCCCTCCCGAAGGCATCTCCTTCCCGGGGCGTCCCGTCCCGCCCTGTCCCATAGGCCTCAGCTGCAGGGAACAAACCCCAGAGTCCTCTAGTTCCCCCTGAGATCACCGCAGGGAGTCGGAGCCATAGGGTGAGCTCCGGGGGACACACTGGGAGGGTCCCCAAGAAAGCAAAGCCTCCAAGCGTAGAACCTGCAGAATTGATTTGTGGGGCTTTTTTTCTTTCCTTTTTTTTTTTCTATTAACAATGGCTGGTGGATTGGATTCACACCCTGATTATGTTTCCACACATTTGTAATTTGTTGAGATGCTGGACTGTGATTTAAAAACCATCAGGATAACCCTACAAGGAGATTCAAGAAGGGGCTCATTCACCCGGTAAATGGCGAAAAGCCTCGGTTCCTGCCGCCAGCTGGCGGGGCGGGAGAAGGCTCTCTCCCAACCCTCGGAACAGCGCCCATGCTCTAGCTCGGGCCCTCAGAGGAGGCCAAGGGTTGCTGCGCCTGGCCTCTCCTTGTGGTCCAGGCCTTGCTCCTGCTCTCTGGAGAGGTGGAGGAAGGGGAAAATTGGTGGACCAAAGTTCTCTGGGTTCAGGTTGCAGGAACCAGGAGGGCCAAGCACCTCTAGAATTTGAGAAGGACCATATGGCAGAAAGATGTCTGGAGAAAAGAAGATTGTCTGGGAGCATGTGCTCATCTCCCCGGCAGGCCTGGCCTGGGAACTTAGAAGGCCTCAGAGAACGCTGTGGCCTGTTTAGTTCCTTAATCACTACTGTGCCTTCCCGGTGTGACTTCCTTTTGGGAAGCCCTGGAAGGACAACGTTTCTAACTCAAAATCGCTGAACATGTGTAGATCTCTCCTTGGCATTCGCTTTGACTTCCATCCATCCATCAATATTTATGAAAACTTTGAAGCCCTGGGTGATGTAACTAACGGAATCCTCTTCCTCATGACCCTTCCAG